CTCCCCGCCCTGCGGGAACACCGCCCCCCGCCGGCACCTGCGGCTCCACCACCCGTGTCTGGACAGAGTTCTCTTCCAGCATCCCGACGCCAGGGTTCCCTCTTGGTCATGGCTGGAGCTTCCCCGGACCTCAACGGGATGCCCCAGCAGCTGGTCGCGGTGCTCGCCTGCCTGCTCCTGAGTTGCCCCGCGCTGCAGGGACAGGCGCCTTCGCCCGGGTCCAAGCTCCACCCGGCTCACTTCCTGCACGCCCGGGGTGCACCTGATGACCGCAGCCCCGACGGCCCCAGGGTCCTGCTGGCGAATCCTGGGATCCGAGTGCCCCGGGGCCGCTCGCTTTGGCTGGATCCTCTCCGGGACCTGGTGATTCGAGTGCAGCCCGGGGACCGGTGCGAGGTGACAGTGCTGGACGCCCTGCCGGCGCTCCAGGGCGCGCTGTCCCCACTCCGCTTCCCCTGCGCCTTCCAGCCCCGCCAGGTCCAGTACACCCACTTCGGCTCCCACAGCCCGGGACGCGTCCGGGTACGGCTGCAGCTGCGCTACGACGCCCAGACTTCCACGCTGGTGCTGCCCTTCACGCTGGCGGTGGACGTGGTCTTCTCCCCGCTGGAGCTGGTGACGCGCAACAGGGCTTTGGCGCTGGCCAGGCTGCGCGGCTGGCGGCACCGCTGGACAGGCGGCGCGGTTGGAGCCACGCCATCGACTGGAGAGTGCTGGACTTCGCCGCCCCAGATTCTGCAGCCGCGGCCACCCGCAGGTGCCGGCTCACTCCTCTTCCTCACCAGGGCGGCCCACTGCCCAAATACGGGCGTTTGGTGGACGCCGAGGGGGCGCCCTTCCCCCGGGACAAGGGAATAGACTGCGAGGCCTTTCTCCGTGCTGGGGCGCGCTACCAGCACATCGCCAGGGCCTCCTCGCCCAGCTGGGACTACGTGCCCATGATGGTGGAGCTGCTAGGGCCAGAGGATGGGACCTCTGGCTCAATGGAGGTGCTGGCCCGCGAGCACTTTCAGCTGCCGGTGAGGATCCGCAAGGGAACCGAAAACATGGCACCCCGGCCCAGCTCCCTGGCCCGGATGATGATGGAGGCCCACCCGTTGGTGCTCACAGCCCTGACTCTTGACGCGCTGGCAGCAGAAGATAAGGAGTCAGACCCTGACGACCTGATCTTCAACGTTCTCCATGTCCCCGCAGCCCCACCGGGGCGCCCGGGTCAGCAGGGCTACATGGTCAGCACGGATGACCCTCTGGGCCTTCCAGTCTCCTTCTTCACCCAGCGGGAGCTCCGGGAGCTGAGAATTGCCTATCAGCCTCCTCCAGAGAACTCCAATGGGGAACGCCTCTTCCAGCTGGAGCTGGAAGTGGTGGATGGAGATGGCGTCACCTCGGTCCCCTTTGCCTTCATGGTGGTGGTGAAGGCCATGCACACCCTGGCTCCAGTGGCTAGCTATGACTGGGGGCTACTGCTTTTCGAAGGTCAGTCAAGCTCCCTGTCCAATGCCCACAACCTTCAGATCACTGATAAAGATAACCTGGAAGAAGTGAAAATAACTGTGGTTCGGGGCTTGAGACATGGTCGTTTGGTGGTGCTTGGGGCACCAGTGGGGTGCAAGTACTTCACAGCAGTGGACCTGGCAGAGGGGAAAGTGGTGTACCAGCATGATGGCAGCAACACCTACAGTGACAACATCGTCTTCCAGATGGAGGATGGGCAGCACCAAGTGGAATTCCTCTTCCCCCTCACCATCATACCTGTGGACGATGACCCACCCGTGGTCAGCACTAACACAGGACTCTCGCTGTCTGAAGGGCAGGTGGTCCAGATCTCCCCCTTTGTCCTGAGTGCTACAGATATTGACTCTGATGACTCAACCATCCACTTTGTGCTGGAGGACCAACCTCCAGCAGGAAAAGAGGGCACGAGAGAGTGGAATCTGGCTCCAGGGTCCTCCCACTCAAGCCAGGACCTGGGGTGCATACTGCTAAGGCAGGCTGAGCCTCCTCTGTTCCCTGAAGATGAAGACTGGCACTATGTGGAAAAGGAAGGACTTTATGAGAAGGTGGTGACCAAGTGGCTACAGAAAGACATAGTGGAAGGGAGACTCTTCTACCGCCATCTTGGATCACATAGCCCTCAATCCGTAACAGCCCAGCTGGCTTTCCATGTGCAAGACAACAATGACCCACCCAATTTATCCAACCAGCACTTCTTCACCATCAGAGTCCAGCCAGTGGATGTGCTCAGTCCTGTGCTGTTTCCAGGAACTACCCTGGAAATGACTGTGCAAGAATACCAACTCACTCATTTACAGAAGGAATTCCTCCGATACACTGACCAGGACTCAGATGACCAGAACTTGTGGTACACCCTACTGACACCTCCGACTGACACAGATGGCAACCACCAAGTTCAAGCTGGGGAAATTGTGCTCACTGATTCACCAGACACACCCATCATGCACTTCACCCAGGCCCAGATAAATCACCACAGAATTGCCTACCAGCCTCCACAGAAGAACCTGGGTATTGTACCCCGGGTTGTGCAGTTCACCTATCAGGTGGAGGACACTGCAGGCAACAGTATACCTGGCACATTCACGCTATTCCTGCAGCCTGTGGACAGCCAGCCTCCAGAAGTCACCAACAGAGGCTTTACTATCTTGGAGGGAGACAGCTTTATCCTTAGCAGTAATGAACTGGCTGTTACAGACCCTGACACAGATACTGACCAGATTGTCTTCATATTAATTAGGGGCCCCCAGCATGGATGCTTGAAGTACTTTAAAAAGCCTATGGTCCCAGGGGAATCTTTTGTGCAAACCGATGTTATTAATGGGAGTGTCTCTTACCAGCATGGCAGAGACCAGACTACTGGTGACTCTTTCCATTTGGAGGTAAGTGATGGGGTGCACCTTGTACCCATCACTGTCCGGATTACTGTGAAACCCACTGCAGCTGACAAAAGGTCCAGGAGTTCTATCACAGGTAGTCCATTATTGAATGTTTCCATCGATGTACTAGAGAACAGAGCCACCGAGATCATGGTGGATATTATCCATGGCAAAAAGAAGGACACGGGTGACTTTGTGCTTTCTTATATTGTGGAGGACAGCCCCAAGTTGGGCACTGTTCTGGTGAATGGTGTGCCCACGGAACGATTCACCCGAGAGGACCTCGCCCGTGGGGCAGTAGCCTACATCCACACTGGAGGTGAAATTGGTTTTCAAAAGCAGCATGATACGTTCAGCCTTGCCCTCTCCAAGGATTCTTACCAGTGGGTAGATGGGGCCAGCACAGTGAAGAAGATTCAGGTGCAAGTGACGGTGCTGCCTGTGGACAATGTGGGCCCCAAGGTCTTAGTGAGGGAGGCCTTCATTGTCTATGAAGGTGAGAAGAGCCCTTTGACTTTACAACATCTCCACATCGAAGATGTAGACACTCCCCGAGATGAAATCTTATGCACAGTGACTGGTCAGCCGGCCTCTGGTTACCTAGAAAACATTGCACCAGCTCCTGGCTCAGGAGTGTCCCAGGCTGGGAGTCCCATCAGCACCTTCTCCATTAGAGCTGTCCGAATGAGGAATATCAATTACGTACAGAGTATCCACAAAGGAGTTGAGCCTCTGGAAGATCAATTCACCTTTTATTGCTCTGATGGCATCAACTTATCTTCAAATGTCTTCTTCCCTGTTATCATCCTACCCACCAATGATGAGCAGCCTGAACTCTTTACCCGGGAGTTCGTGGTATTAGAAGGAATGAGCTTAGTCATAGACACTCCACTGCTCAATGGAGCAGATGCTGACCTGCCACCGGATAAGCTCCACTTTCAACTCACAGCTTCCCCTCAGCATGGGCGAATTGTACAGCAGCTGGCCACAGGCAGCCAGCCTATCTGCCACTTCACCTTGCAGGAGATCCAGGAGGCCTCCACCATTGTGTATGAGCATGATGATTCAGAGACCACAGAGGACAGTTTTGAGGTCTGGCTGAGTGATGGCAAGCACGCCAGTCACAGAAGGATCCCTATTGTGGTGATCCTGGTGGATGATGAAACTCCCCTGCTGACCATCAACCATGGGCTGGCAGTAGAGACTGGACACTCTGCAGTCATCACAAATCAGGTCCTCAGGGCCACAGATCTTGACTCGGATGATAAGAGCCTCAGTTTTGTCCTCCATTCTGGCCCTCAACAAGGGCTTCTACAGAGACTGAGAAAGCCTGGAGGGGATGTGAGGAACACCCTCACTGTGGGAATGAACTTTACCCAAGATGAGATTGATAGAGGCCTTATCTGCTATACTCACACAGGCCAAGGAGGAGCTGTAGACCTTATCAAGTTTGATGTGACAGATGGGGTTAACATTTTGATAGATTGCTACTTCTATGTCACCGTTGGCAGCTTGGACAGAGTCTTTTCTGAGGTAATCAGCAAAGGGGTCACCTTGATGGAGAGTGACAGAGTGATTCTCACCACACATCTGCTTAGCACCAGTGACATCAACAGCCCTGAGGAACAACTTCACTTTAGCATCACACAGGCTCCTCACCTGGGCCACTTGGAGAGTTCTGACCATCCTTCAGAGCCCATCACTTCTTTCACTCAGCTTCAGTTGGCTGCCAACAAAATATCTTATGTCCACACTTCCAAAAATGAGACAAAGATGGACAGCTTTGAGTTTCATGTGATCAATGGACACAACCCCCTGTTCAGAACCTTCAGGATCTTCATCACAGATGTGGATAATAAGAAACCTACTTTGACCATCCATAAACTAACACTGCAGAGAGGGGCCAGCAAAGTCATCACCCCCTTTGAGTTGACTGCAGAAGATGAGGATACCCCAGATGAGCTCATTCTCTTTACCATCACCCAAGTCCCCATCCATGGCAAGATTTTACACAACAGTAGCCATCCTGTGACTACTTTTACCAAAAGGGACCTGAATGAGAAACTGATCAGCTACTGGCATGATGGCAGTGAAACTACAGAAGATCGTTTCTCCTTGACCGTGACAGATGGCACTCACACTGATTTCTACACCTTTCCAGACACTACTCTGGAGACGCACAAGCCTCAGGTGATGAGGATCCAGATAAGTTCCCTACAGAACAGGCTCTCCCCGATTGCCATGAACAAGGGTGCCCCAGCCTTGAAGTACCTTCGCACTGGGCACATGGGAGTCCTGATTACCAGCAAGTCTCTGAAGGCAGAAGATCAGGACCGTCCCCATGGGTGCCTGAAGTATCAAGTGACCAGAGGACCAGAACATGGCTTCATTATCAACAGCGACCTCAGAAACCAGAGCACTCGCGTGTTTACACAAGGTTAGTGCCCATTCTACCCCCACGTCTCTCTGCTCCTTCCGGCAGATCAGATGCCTCAGCTTGGTAAAACCTCAGAGTATTTGCGGTAAGATTCTGGTTCTAATAAAATACAGTATAATGCAAAAGTTTTCTGAAAACAAAAAAGGCAATAAGTGCTTTTCACCTATTTTATCAGAATGCCCATTTACCAGGAATCCACAGATATTTAATAAAGCGTGTAGTTGGACCATAAAACTGCAAAACAGAAGGACAGCTTTTGCCTCTGAAATATTATAAGATAAGGTTCACTTTGGGTAATACTAGTTTTGTTTTGAATTTTAATGACCTATCAGAATTATTTGCATAGTTTATTAGTATAGGTTTTTGAGGATATTTGATATGCAGATTTTGGATATGAATTATAACACGGGAAAGTTTTTTTTGTACTATTCAGATGTAATTTCTGCATCTTAAAAAGCATAGAACTAAATTTGCCTAACTGTGTGAGAACCTATGTTTTAAAGACTATTTTTCTTTTGTGTCTGGTATTCCTACTAATGGTGAACTAGAGGCAGGTCCCCTGCTTTACCAGGTAATGTGACACCTCATGATTTTTGGTTGCTTTTTGTATGTTCTTATGATTTCTTTTTTTAAGGAATTATTTATTTAGTTTTATTTATCATCATAATCATAATTATTTTTTAAATTTGAACAAATAGAGAAACAGAATGAGGGAAAGTGAGAAAGCCAACTGTCATGTCTGGGACTTCAACCATTGTCAACCATACAGGAGTCCAGCGTCTCCACCAATACACCACCTGTGGGCTCCTGGTCTTACCATTTCTATAGTTATCTTTGTGTGTGAAATGTGAAGAAATGCATGAAACTTCTCACATATGGTATGTGGAAATCTAGATGCAATCTCAGAGTTAAACATTTTTTAGAGAGTGTTCAAAAAACAGTTTGGTTACATTTTCAGGTTTGCTTTTTTACATTTTTTTTAATTGCCAGAGGACAAGTGTGCTTGCTAGAGTCAGAAAGACAGAGAAGGAGAAAGCACCCTCCACTGGGATGTGGTCCCACCTTAGACCCTCTTCCATTTCTCTATCCCGTCGGGATTTGAGATGCTCATGTACGCGTGTCCAGCATCTCTTCCAAGTCACGGACTAGAATTTGGGTTGGCCATGTGGGCTCTGGCTCCCTTAATGACGAGGCCCCAGGTCAGCCCCCAGATTTGTTTAAATACATATGAAATCACATGTTTCATCTGCGACCATGTGTTCCTCTAGATGTTGTTGAGATGGGCCTGGCTCTGTGGTGCAGTGGTGATAGACGGTTCAAGCGAAGTCAGATCCTGCGTGGCTGCTGCTGTTCAAAAGCTCAGCCCAGTCAGTCTGAAACATGCTGGGCACACACAAGTGCTCAAGATCTGACAGACTAGAGGACTGGACAGAGGGGAGCACAACGTGCCAGACCATCTGGAGGCCACTCAACTGTCTTTCTCTCTCTTTCTCTCTTTTTCTCTCACTCTCATGTGTACACATGTGTACTATCATGAATAAAGAAAGAAAACATGGCTCTTTTTTAATTATTCATTTAACTTCACTCATTATTATTGTTGTTATTTAAAATTTTGATATAAGGCATATGTGCTCACCAGAGAGAGACAGAGAGAGAAAGAGAGAGAAAGTAGGCTGTTAGGTCCGGGATTCAAACTGTGGTCAGCCATGTAAGAGTCCAGCACCCCAACTACCTTGCCATCTGCTGATCTCAAAATACTGTTCTTATAAATGAATACCTCCAAAAAACAGTCTTTAAAACACTAATAATTACCAATATAAAAACTTTAATCATAGACCCCAATAATGAATTTTTAATAACCTGATAGGTGATGGGAAAAAAAATGACTGTATTCTCATTTTTATTGTTCTCAGGATGCAGTGGTTACTTTTGTTTGCATTCATTTTAGCAAATAGTTTATAAGTCTCCACCACTATGCCAAATTCTATGCGTGTGCAGAAGACTTAAAACCAAATAGATTTGGCTTTCCATGGAGCACCGTGTTGTAATAAAGCACCACCACCGGGATGTCCTCCTTGTTGGACAGAACACATGCACTCAGTGGCACTGACATATAGTTTTAAACTAAAGTTTCGTTTTTGCAATTGTAACTTTAAGGAAAAAAATAGGTTGATGTTTTCTTTTTTTCAAGAATTATTTAACTTTTACTTATTTATTTATTTATTTATTTATTTTATTTAAACCAGAGAGGAAGAGAGAGAGACAGAGAGAAAGAAGGAGAGAGAGAGGAAGTCAGAAAACAAGCCACCAGGTCCAGAACTTAAACGTAGTTGGCCACATGGGAGTCCAGCACCCTCAACCACCATGCTACCTGCTGGCCCTGGTTGACGTTTTCTTAATCATTATTTTAAAATCTATTGTAGTAAGTCCATGCCTAGTAACAGTGAAGTTAAAAAGGACACACGGGGGCTTGGCAATAGAATGCAACACTCTATGAGGCTGACGTATGCAGGAAGGTCCTGGGTTTTTGTCCAGAAACCTCTTTGATTACTCCAGGCACATGTGTGCCCATGACTCAGAGCTGGTTGGGGCTGACAGTTAAGACCCTATTAGGAGGTGCTGCCTCTCTCCTCTCCTCTCCTCTCTCTCTCTCTCTCTCTCTCTCTCTCTCTCTCGTTCATGCAAGAAATGAGTAAACTAAAAACCTGAAGTTCACATACTCATTTTCTGCGGTGTCAGTCTGACCCGTGTGATGGTTGCTCTCTGTTTCAGCGGACATTGAAAAGAGGCGGATCCTCTATGTCTTAAAGGAAGGGAGCAATGCAACAAAGGACATCTTCTACTTCTCTGTCGAAGACAACAGTAAGTCGGGGTTCAGACCTTAAAACGATCTCGTGGTTAATTCAAATCAATATGAAACTGAATAAAATGATTATAGGTCACTTATACAGGAATCACAATGGGTAATGTTATAATATCAACTAATTAATTATTTTATGGTCTTATGTCAAATTTTTCTTTTCTTTTTTTTTTTTTCCTTTTTTTTTTTTTTTTTTTTTTTTTTTTTAACCAGAAGGCACATGCTCTCACTGGAGATTTGGGGAGAGGGAGCGAGAAACAGAGCAAGTGAGAAATCCCTGCCCCTATGGAGAATGGTCACACCATAATCCTTTCTCCTCCATTTCTCCCTCCCTCTGGGATTTTAGGCACACATGCATATGCGTCCATTGTATTTCTCAAGTCAACAGGTCTAGGAATTGAATAGCACATTCTGCCACCCGGAATCCTGCTGCCCTCACCACCGTGCCACCAGGTGGCCTGCCAAATGGCTTTAGACACATCACCCTTTAAGAAGAGGAATTTGATTAATGAGATAGGAAGGATTTTTACCTGACCTAAATTACATGGGCACCCTCTAGGCAGATGATCCTTATCTTCAGAAGATTCTGACCAGCCACCTAGTGGTTTCACTAATTCTGAAACAAATTAGAAAAATCCTGGACCAGCCTGTGCCCTGGTGGGTAAAGCAGCAGGATCCCAAATGGCCAATGGCATGGTTCCGGTCCCAGACCTGGTGGCTCGAAAAACACATGAGGAGCATGTGCATGTGTGCCCCACATCCCGAAAGGAAGGAGCGATGAAAGAGAAAGGATTAAAGCCTGCCAATGCCCATGAGGGGTGCTTTGTCTCTTCCCTGTCTCTCGGTCTCTCTCACTGGCAATCACATGTGCTCTCTGGCAAATATATTAAAAAAATTAAAAGTCAAAATTAGAAAATCTGCCTTCAGAGTTCATTAGGATTTTTTTTTTTTTTTGAGAGGTTTTTGCTTTAGGGCACGTGCACTCGCCAGACAGACAGAGAGAGAGACAGAGAGACAGAAAGCGAGAAATCCCAGGGGGGAGAGACAGAAAGCGAGAAATCACCCCCCAGGGGGGATGACCACACCGGAATCCCTTCTCCACTGTTCTCCTCTCAGGATCTTGGGTACACACGCACACGCGCCCAGCGTGAGTTTAAGCCACCAGGTCCGGGACTCGAACCGTGGTCGACTACATGGGAGTCCAGCGACATAGCCATTACGCTAACTGCTGGTCCCAGAGTTCATTAGGATTTTTAGTTGCATAACTGAATTGTACGACTCTCTGACCTTTAGGATAGGGTGAAAATATGTTTACTAGCATAGGGGGAAATCACTTCAAAATCACATGTTTAGGGACCAGCAGGTGGTGTGGTATTTGGGGTGCTGGACTCCCACATGGCTGACTGCAGTTTGAGTACCAGACCTGACCTGAAACTCACACTGGGCATGTGTGTATGCCCAAAATCTCAAAAGGAGAATGGAGGAGAAACCATTTGGGCTTAGCCATCTCCCCAGGGCAGGAGTTTGAGGGGGAGCTATGATTTCTCATCTTCTCTCTCTCTGTCTCTGTCTCTCTGGTGAGCGTGCCTACAGCAAAAATCTCTCTTAAAAATTTTTTTTAAAACTACATGTTTATTCTGTCTACCATATCTTTAAAGTGGCATAACGGGCAGCAACTAGTTAATAGATGACACTGTCTCTGCAACTGGGGATAAGAGGATTATGTGGTCAGAAGAAAAATCATTTTGCAGTGTGACAGGATAATGGCAGAGATGATGTTCATGTGCAGCTTGCTCCTTCGTAACCTCCTTCGGTATAAACCGTGCCTCATTCTCAATAACACGCATTTTCTGTCTCAGTCGTATGTAGTCAGTCAAGGACTATATTTATTAAAAATAATAAATGCAGGCTACATTTATTACAAATAATAAACGCAGTCATTGAGAGGCAATATGGTATGCTAGGCCTGGTTTACACGTAGTCAAGGACTGTATTTATTGGAAATAGGAAGTACAGTCTTATCTGGGAGGCTGTGCGGTGGGCTGGGTTTGAATATAAACTGCCCCATGTGACCTAGAACAAATGACCTTCTATCACTTACTCCTCTGTCTATAAAATGACGGTCCACATACCTATGTCACGGGGCTGCTAAGAGAATTAAGCGAGGGGATATACATTAAGCCCTCAGCACAAAGTAGGTGCCCATTAATAGTTACCTTGTCATCTTCTGATGACACTAACTACAGTGGAAGCCACTGGTCTCTTCTGTCCATCTTCTCACGTAAAGTTTAAAAACAAATCTTCCCAGAGCTGGCAGCTGGTCTAGTGGGTTAAGGTGCTGGATTCCCACATGGTGGACTATGGTTTGAGTCCCAGACCCGGTGGCTTGAAACTTACTCTGGGTGCATGGGTGTGTGTGTGCCCAAAATCCCGAGAGGAGAATGGAGGAAGGACTGTGGCATGGCCATGACCCCTGGGGGTGACCTCTCACTTTCTGTCTCTCTCTGTTCCTCCAGAGAGCACATGCACCCCTAGAAAAAATCTCTTACAAAAAGAAAAAAAAAAAGGAAAAAAAAACCCTTTCTTCCTTTTCCTGAGTTCTGAACAAAGCTACTTCAACAACCCATTTATCCCTTTCAAACTGATTTATAGAAATGTATGACACATATTTTATAATGGAATATCCCTTTTCTGTTTTTGAGACAGTTGATACCCTAAAAAGATGTGCCTCTGATTCTGATGTTGCAGTGTGTGGGCAACGTCAGAAACGAGAACCACGCTGGGATGTGAATTTTACAGAGCTATCATTTTGTGAGCGCTTTCTGTGTACTGAGTAGTGCTTATATACATCATGGGTATTTCCCCTCCCTGTGCAAATAAGAGACGAATGTGATGATGTTCATTTTAAAATGAAGACACCAAGCTTCAATAACTTGTCTGAAGTCATACTGGTAGTGAGAAAGTGAGCTGGAATCAAACCCTGGTCTTGCATATCCAAAAGCAGGGTTCTTTTTTTTTTTTATAAGAGTTTTTTTGCCTTATGGTGCATGCTCTTACCAGAGAGACAGACAGACAGACAGACAGTGAGAGGAATGTGAGAAGTCACCCCCCAGTAGGGATGGCCACACTGCAGTCCCCTCTCCTCTGTTCTCTTCCTGGGATCTTGGGCATGCACACACGCACACCCAACGTGAGTTTCAAGTCACCAGGGCCACCGGGACTCAAACCAAGGTTGGCCATGTGGGAGTCCAGCGATGTAACCACTATGCCGTCTTCTGGCCCCAAACATAGGGCTCTTAACCACTAATAGTATGTTACCTCTGCTTTGGGATGCTGAGACCATAGGAAGAAGTCAGAGAACAGAGCAGAGACTGTACCTCCCAACCCAACAAAGAAGTTAAAGTGAAAAGAATGAGCAACACAGACTCCATACTAATTGGATCTTAAGCACACATGCATCTCCATAAACTAATTAAATATTGATGCATTCATTAATCCAGTGGATTTTTAAATTACCTTCTGAGTGCTGTACACAGAGCCAAGATCCACATCTGCTGGCGACAAGCATTCTTGGGACAGCTGATGAAGGACTGGTTTTAAACGCACCTGCTTCTCAATATTTTCAAATGTTATGCATCTCTCTCTTTAGGGTAGCCAGATTAATCCCTTTTCTTTTAAAATAGCTCCACTTTTAAAAACCATTTCCCAAGTGGAATGTTTAAGAAAAATTACAATTTGGTCACTTCTTGGTCTCTTGGTTAAGATTAAAAGTAAAACTACAATTCGATCTTTTAATAATTTTCTTTCTTGACAATCCATAGTCCTTGCAGAAGGTACTACTTTCAGTTGTTTAAGCTATTTTAGATGGATGAAATTCTAAAGATACATTCTTTACCACTGGGCTGAAGTGCAATTTGATGTTATGGTGGTTTTTTGCAGTACTAATACTCAAACCGTTTAAAGAAGACTGTACCCTACTTCCAGAATTATGCGTTAGGTAAATACTGCAGGCAGCCACAGGGGTCTTAAAGGTGGAAGTATTGGCAAGATCACCCTAGAGCTGCAATTTTAGTAAAGCCCTGAGTGTGACAACATGGAGGTTTCTAGTTCATAAGCTCTGAAGCCAGGCTACCTGCGTTCAAACCCTAGCTCCACCTCATAATAGTTATGGATTTTTGAAAACCTGTCTGGTTTTGGTTTGCTCATTCATATATTGGAGATAATGATAGCATGTATTCCAGAGGGGGATTTTATGAGGATTTACTAGTTTTCCATTGCTGCTATAACAAATTACCATAGATTTTTGTGGCATAAGACAACACAAATCAGGCTTTCTCTGTCTTTCTGGCGAGCACACGTGCCCTATAGCAAAAACCTCTCCAAAAAAATAAATAAATAAATAAACGCAAATCAGGCTAGCAGGTGCCATGGATTCCCTTTGACTGACTGTATGACCCAGCAGAGCAGCCTGAAAAACATGCCAGGCATGTGTGCATGTGTGCCCAAAATCCCAACAGATTGGAGAAATGGAATAGAAGAGATCACAGCATGGCCATCCCCCCATGGGTGTACTTTCTCACTCTCTCCTTTCTCTGTGTCTCTCTCAGGCAAGTGCACATGCCCAATAGCATATTAAACACTCTCTCTCACACACATTCATACACACACACACCCCTGTCATCTTACAGTTTTGCAGGTCAGAAGTCCAAAATAGCTCTCCGTGGACTAAAATCAAGGTTTTGGCAGGACTGCATTTTTGTGGAAACTTGAGAGAGAATCCATTTTCTTTCCCTCTCTAACTTCTAGAGGCTGCTCATTGCTACATCTTTAGAAATGGAAAGTCTTTCTCCTGCCGTGTGGCTCTCATACTTACTTCCTCGCCTCCCGCTGTCACTGTATGGACCCTTGTGATTATCCAGGGCCCACCTGGATAATCCGGGATAGTCTCACCAGCTTGACATCCTTCGCTTAATCACATCTACCAAGTTCCTTTGCCATGTGT